GCAGAATACACCTTTTACAACCAAATGGGAAAACATCCTCTTGCTTAAAGAATAACCAAACAATCCTACCCTTAAAACCAGGCCCAGATCCCCACATCCAACCCCAGCCTACCCCCACCATGCACACTGACCACATCCCTCAGTGCCACATCCCTATGGCTCTGGAACACCTCCAGAGAAGAGGATTCCCCCACTTCCCTGGGCAGCTGTGCCACCACAGCACCTCTCTTTTTGAGTTGTTCCTAATATTCAACCTAAAACTCCTCTAGAAACGCTGACCCAGGGTCTCTACCAGCTGAGCAAGGAGATTCATCTAGGGTTTGCCTGGGTTCTCCTCATAATGTCTTTGCAGCAAATGGAGCCTGCCTGGGCGCACTGCATGCGTTGCATTAACGCATCCCCCAACACCCTGATTTCTGTGCACGTGCTTCCTGATCCTGCTGGAGGCACAGGGAGTTTTGGGACTGAACTAGCAGTGAGTGCACTGCATCTGCCCTCCCTCCATCCCTGCATCTCAGAATCCCACATTTTTCTTAGGACAAGCAGTAGGAGCCCCCTCAGAGGGCTTTAATTAAACCAGGGCTGTTCAGATGCCGAGCAGACAGCAGGGCGCATCCACCCACACATCCCATAGGGAAAGGGAAGAGAACAGAAGGAATCATGATGGGAAGCAAAGAAGCAGAGAAAGGACAGTGCAAGTGAGCAGCTTGCAGCAGAGCACAGCAAGGAGAGCAGAGCTGTCATCATCTGCTGTCAATGCTTCCAGCTACCTAAGGGTTAAAAATAACTGCAGGGAGCACTGCTTTCATCAGCAGCTGGGACCAGAGGAAACCAAGCAGCGGTGTGGAGCTCTGGGGCCTCTCAGGCTCTGTTGCCCAATTTCCACCTCTCTATGTCACGGCCATTGGTGACAGTGTCTCCAGCCCAGTGCTGCCAACTTCCTCCTCCTGTCCTCAGTGCTCAGCACTCCTGGGGCAGTAGTGATGCTGCTGGGGTCTGACAGCAGGGACTGCAGAATGGATGGTCCCCAGGCCTAGCACATGAGTAGGCACGGCACATCTAAGTGGATATATTCAACCAATTGTGGCACCTATGGGGCTGAAGTCATGCTTCAAGACTGGTGTAAAAGTGTTTGGGGCATCTTTAGGGCAGCTGGTTTGAACCTTAGAAGAGAAGGCACTGAAAATCATCTCTTTCATCCTGCCAGCACCTAACAATCATGACCAGTTCATCACACACAGCTATACTACACAACAGCATCTGCCTCCCCAAAAGGCAATTGGGGAAGGAAATAACCTGGGAACAATCTGACCCACCACAAGCGATCCCAATGCGCTTCTCTGCCAGCTTCCCTCTGCAAGCCAAGAGCAGAGCTCTGAAGTGCAACCAAAAAACAGATGGGGAGGGACTAATTAAGTAGAAAAACACCACTTAGAACAAACAACAGTAAACACACAGCTGAAACAGAGCTCTGAAGCCATCCGTACCCTGCTCCAAGGAAGGCTGCTATCTCCAACCCCAGTATTGCTGCCTTCCCCCAGTGCACCAAATCCTGCTGAGACCCAAAGCCCCAGGGCAGGCGAAGGGCTCAGACCACATTTAGCCCAACCTCATTCCTCCAGACCAAAGCTTCTGGGGTCTCTGGTCCCTCTCCCCAATCCCTTTGCAACCCAAAACCGCCGCAGTGCCAGCAAGAAGCCACCTCCCAACTCACGAAGCTTTGCTACACCTCAGACCTTGCAATTAGGCTTCCATCCATCTTCTCCCTCCTGATGCTTTTCAGGGATGCTTTGCCCTGCTCTCCCCTTTTATTTCACTCCCAGCCCCTCTGTGCCCCACACAGGTGACGGCTGAGCCCTGATGAGAGTAGTGAGCTGAGCCAAAACCAATGGCAAATTCCTCGAGTGAGACGTAATATGCTGGGAAGCGCCTCACCACTTCGCTTGGGAAAATGATCCGTTTGGCAGCCGAGAGGAGGAAAACATGCTTTGTTTTACAAATCCTCTCCCCAGCAGGAGAGACACTCCCAGAATTTAATATACTGACAGTGCTTGGCTGCTTTAACCACCGAAACCCAAGAGAGCTTCAAAAAAGAGAAAAAGCACAAAGCGATGCTCTGTGTAATGCAAAAGACCATCATTTCCTGCAATGGGTGATGGGCACAGCCATCCACCAGCACAGTTCTCCCACCTGTGTGAGCTGTTGGGGTTAGGGTGATGGGTGAGAGTGGATTCAAGGTTTTCCCAAGTGCTGACACCTCTACTGACCCAGTTCTCACCATCTCCCTCTTAAAATTGCCTACTGGAAACCAGAGAAGCTCACAGAATGAATGAGGTTGAAAGGGACCTCAAAACCCACCCTGTTCTGATCAGTCTTGGGCTGGTTGTCCCCCATCAGCACAGCCTGCCCATGGCCCCATCCTTGACACTGTGCACCTCCAGGGATGGGGCACCCACAGCTCCAGGCACCAGTGCCAGGGCCTGCCCATCCTATTGAGTAAAGGATGCCAACGGGTAAATCTAGGAAGGCGCCTTGCAGCAGTGAAACTAGATCCAGCAGAAGGATTATCACCATGAGAAACCAGCGGCCCCATCCCAGTGACTGGGAGGTTCTTGTGGCCATTGCACCCCAAGTGTTGGCCTCACTGCAATGAAAGTGTTCCAATGTATTTCCACTTCTCCTGAGCTGCATTTAACTGCCAAAAGCAAACTATGTGGAGCACAGGAGGAGGGCTTACAAGAAAACACGCATCATCAAAAGAGCGCAGAGGGCAGTGCTTGTTGGGGAGGGGATTTTAATTCTGCAGCTTGGGGTCGGGGTAGAACTGCAGGCTCCGAGGAGATGACAGCATTACCAGCACAGAGGAAATAACAAGAGGGATCTCCAGAAAAGAAACCATCAAGACATCAGACTGAGCAAAAGGAGCACAGAATGGCTTGTGTTGGAAAGGACCTCACAGATCACTTTGCTGTGGGCAAGGTGGCCATAAGCAGGGTTTCAATGCCCTACCATCTTGCTGATCATTGAATCCAATTTTGGGGGGGCTGGCAGGCAGGAGGGGTTCCCACAAGCCTCTTCTTGCAGCCCATGGATGGGGCAAGGAGTTCAGTCAAAGAAAACCAAAAATCTGCTGCCTGCCAGCATACTCATCCCACTCAACCCAAGGATGGAGCACCTCCAGGAGGCAGGGACGCTGCCACCTGCCCCCACATTAGCAGGCTGAGCTCACTTCAAATCTTGATGAAATCAATTGGAAAGGCTCCCAGTGACCTAAAACAACAGTCTCAATGCAATTGAGAGCACTAAGTCACTCGGTTTGCTGGAAAAGCCCCAGTTTCACAGCTTCATCAGCATCCCCACAGCCAGAGGCAGCCCAAAACAGCCCACAGCACCAGGATCTGCTCAGCAGGGCATCCCACAGCTGCTACCTGGAGGCGAGGAACAACACTGCCTCATTACAATGTGCTCTATTATAGTATCTAGGACAGAGCGTTCCCTATTTTGACACTCTAAGATCTATTTTATCAGTGGGAGCTCTTCAGAACTGCTCGTGCACAAAGACTGATCTGACTCTAACAGGTTTGTCGCTGCCATTTTTCAATGGATTTCTAGCTAGAGACTCCTTTTTTTTTTTTTCCCTAGACAGACAATGGGAAAAACCTGGACCTGAAGCAGAGAGAATATAGAGTAAGTCATCTATTTCACAGGCACAGAGATTATTTCTTGTGAGGGGAGGCAGGCGTGATACAAACACCCTCTAAAATTAGCACCATTCTAGAAGGATGAAGCTTTGGCATGGGTGAGGTGGTGGAACTTTAGGGCATGGAGCTGCTATCAAATGGGGCGAGGGCACATTCATCCTAAACCAGCAGTGAGGTTCAGAGCCATTCCCATAAGGGACACAAAAAGAGCTGAAACCACTTGGGTTTCCCAGCTGGGCTGCCCCAAGGCCAGCATTAAGTCATGGATACCACTGGGATGCAGTGAATGGAAATGTGCCTCGGGGTGGGGCAGGTGATGGGGTCAGGGATGTGAGCTCAGTGATATGTGGAACAGAAACTGAAGAGAATGGCTTTAGTTTAGAAGGGATCTTAAATATCATCCAGCTCCAACCCTCTGCCATAGGGTTGCCAACCACTAAATCAGGTCATCTAGAACTACTTGCAAAAAAGTTAACAGGACCAGAAAATGGGGTGAAAAAATGCAAAAAAGCAAAGCAGCAACACTAAAACAAGAACCACATGGGACCCTGGAGCAGCTGTGCTTGATGTGGACAGGCTGACACAGAGCAGAGCCACAGGGCTGGGAGCTGCTCCTGATGCCCAGCAAAGAGCAGAGCGCTCCCCAGCTGGTAGAACAGGTTGTGCTGAGCCCTGGGGATCTGGGCAGAGAGAAATGTGGCTCAGTCTGTTGTCTGTTTGCATGCAAAAAGTGCAGTTTTTCAAAGCTCAGCATGCCCCAGAGCCCAGCACTTGGGTCTCCTTATCGCCTTCTATCAGCAGAAATGGTTACATGGCCATTTGTTGGACGCAGCGCACCGCTGCTCTGTTTGCTCAAATCAACTTTCTGTAGTGCTGCTCCTCAGCTGACGCCCAGCTCAAGCAGGATTCCAAGGGGAAAGGTCTCAGGCTCTGAGCAATTCACCCCCTGCTCCCACCAGCCCCAGCCAACGCAAGCAAAACTCCACCGAGCGACGCATTGAAAAGAACGCACTAAAAAAGCCAACTGCCAACTGTTGGCATTGCTAGGCCTGGAAGAAAAAAGCTGATTCTCCAACGCTGCTGGCTCTGATTGCCTCTGAGCTCTGCAGAGCTGCTTCAAACCAGAGAACTTTTGGAAAGTTGGGTGGGAACCTCCCCGAGTGGGCTGTGCTGCAAAGCCCAGATCAGCACAAGCAGCAAAGGGAGGGAGAAAAAATACAGCCAGGAGGGTGACCCTAAATCGACTTCTCCCCACCCCAAGCAGGCAGCCCCCCCCTGGAGAAACCCGTGCGTCCTCACCTGCCGCAGGTGCCTGAGCAGCTCGGTGGCCTCCTCCTGCTTGCCCTGCTTCACCAGCCCCAGCATGTCCTGGATCATGCAGATCCTCCGATGGTATGGGGGGAGGTTGCCGGCCCCCTTCCCAAACTTCTCACCCGATTTCACCACCAGCGAGGCGAGGAAATCACCCCTTTCCCTGGGGGATGTTTTCTTGCGGTGATGGGCTGGGGGGCTCTCCCCGGCACTGCCTGGCTGGCAGCCCTTGGTCTGCTTGGTGCCCATGGTGTGCTGATCCCACAGCCTTCGGGCTGCATGCAAAGGTGGGAGCCTGGAGCTGGCCAGCACAGGGCAGGGTGCGCGGGGGGGGCACAGAGGGGATGAACCCCTTGGGTTATGAGGGCATAGGGGGTTGCAGAAAGGGATGCAGGGGATGCACAGAGGGTTTGGGTGCACGCAGCAGGATGCAGAAGGGGATGGGGGTGTGCACGAGGGGTCTCGGGGTGAAGAAAGGGGGATGGAGAAGGGGTTTAGGAGTGCAAAGAAAGCGGCAGAAGGGGATGTGGGGGTGCACAAAGGGTTTGGGGGAATGCACAAAGGGGATGCAGAAGGGGTTTAAGGACACACAGGGATATAGGAGGAGTGTGAGATGTGAAAGGGGTTACAAAAGGGGCTTACGGAGTGCACAAGGGGTTGAAGTAGGGGATGGGAGGAGAGTACAAGGGGTTTGGGGGGGACACACAAAGGGAATGAAGAACCAATTTAGGGGGATGCAAAAGGAGTTTAAGGAAAGGCACAAAGGGGGTGAAGAATGGGTTTAAGGAGAAGCAGGAGTCCAGGGAGGTACATAAAGGGAATGAGGGATGGCCTTAGGGGGATGCAAAAGGGGATGCACGAAGAGTTGGAAGGTGCACGAAGGGTTCGGGATTGAGGACGGGGCTCGCAGCCCCGCAGCTCAGCAGGGCGGTGGGTGCCCGGCGGCGGGGCTGCTCCTCTCCTGTAGTCGGAAGAGAGAACGGCGGAGCCCGGCGGTGCGGAACCGCCCCACGTCCCCGCCGCTCAGCTCCATCCCTCCGGCGCGGTGTGAGCGGGGTTCTGCGGGGCTCCTGCCCCGGTATCGGGCGGCGGCGGTGCTCAGCGCTGCGGCGGTTCCGTGCGGTTCTCCCCCGCCTCTCGGAGTCTTTCCGTTCTCCTCCTCCCGGCGCTGAAAGGGCTCTCCCGGCCGCGATGCGGGGCAACTGTTGCACGGGGCTCCCCCCGGGGAAGCGGCTCCGCTCGGGCTGCTGCGGGGGTGCGTGCGGCGGGGAGAGCCGGGGGAGGGCCGGGGGCGGGCACCGAGCACCGAGGCAGGGCTTGCGGAGGAAGCTGGAGCCGGACGGGGCTCTTCCTTCCTCCTCCTCCGCCTCCTCCTCCTCTTCTTCTCGCCCTGCAGAGCTGGGGTTGGCACCGAGGGGGTTCCTCAGAGGGACCTCCAAAGGGAGGCACAGCTCCAGGGCTGCTCCACTCCCATCACAACCCCCGAAACGCACCCCCGGTATCACCTCTCAGCCCCCTTCCATGCACTCGCCATGCTCCTGCCAGCAGCTCCTCTCCAATATTCAGTCACTCCTTATCTTCCCTTCTTTTCGGGCATGGATTATAGCTTCTAGATAAGGACCGCAGCGAATGAGCAACGCTCACCGGCTGCAGCACACGGATATCTCAAGAAATACTTGGGAGGAATGAGCTTGCACGGCCACAGCAACAGCTTCAGAGCTGCTCCGGGTGCAAGGTGCTGCTTTCCAGCCACAAACTGCACGCAGCCTCCTCCACGCTGCTGCTGGGCTGGAGCAATGCTGGAGCTGAGCACACAACACCTGGGCAAGCAGTGTGGAAGATGCTACGGGGCATCTTGCAGCTGTAGCAGAGGTAAGCCTGCAGCAGCTTTGCATCCTTTGTGCCTCCTTTGCATCCTGTCCACAAACACACACGCAGTTCGTTGCGCTGGTGAATAAAGGACAGCCCTCCTCCATACCCAAATGGCTGCAGAGCTGTGTTAAAACCCCAAAGGCCAACCACTGTAATTCATTTCCATACCATGAGAAAGGTGGAGAGCCCTGTAGACCTCAATAGGGTTTGGCTCTGTCTTGCAGAGCTGTGCTACACTTCCCTCAATACCAACACTTCCTCATGAGCTGCATCTTTTACTGCTGTCATGAGATAAAAGCTACCTTTCACTGCTCCAGGCACATCAAGGCAAGCCATGCAGTGAAGCATACAAGATGTACCTGGAGAGGGAGTGGTGCCCATCCCTGCAGACCCCCAGGGTCAGAATGGAGGGCTCTGAGCACTGGTGGAGCTGTGGGTGTCCTTGTGCATTGCAGGCAGTGGGACCAGATGGCCTTTGGGGGTCCCTTCCAACTCAAACCGTTCTGTGATTCTATGACACAGGTTATAGAAACCCCCAGGTTTTGTTGAACAGTGATTCAGGAGTTCCCATGTTGGAAACCCTACTGAAGAAGCGTCGCTGCAGACCTGGTGCTGTGCCATGAAGTCAGCAGGATGGGACCACTCAATTTTCCCCACTTAAAATGGGGCTGCTTGGGCCAAAACCCCATGAGAAGCCACAGCTTTACGGGCACGGGGATAGCAAGGCTGGGCTGGATGGAGCCCTAAGCAGCCTGATGTGCTGGGGGGGCACCCAGCCCATGGCAGGGCTTGGCTCTGAGGTCCCCCCCAACCCAACCACCCTGTGGTTCTCCTGCATCTGGAGCTGCGCCCTGGCAGGAGAGGTGGCTTTGCACAGCAACCGTGGTCCAGAGTAAATAAATAAAGCACAACCTTTGCACTTATGACACTCCTGTCAGCAGGGCGGATAGTTTATCTGCTGCTCCTGATCACACTTATTTATAGCACAGAACAAAGCCAGCAAAAAAAAAAAAAAAAAAAGCCACTGAAAGCATGGTGTGTTCTCTCATTACAGCGGCGCAAAGAAGCCACAGAAGCGACCCAGCCTCACCCCACTGCACACAGCAGCAGGCACCATTCCCCATGCACAGATGGAACGCACCCAGAGCTCAAGCACTGCAACCTGGCCCATCCCTGTGGTGTTCATGAGCTGAACCCCTCTCCACAGCTTTTGGACCAACCAAATGTTCTGCAAAAGTCATTGGATCTGCAGCCAGTGAGCTTTTCTGACTGAGAGCAGATGTGTGCAAACTGCTAATCAATGACCACAGGAAGAACTGGCTCTTTTCGTGTTGCTTGCTTTTTGACACAGTTCTGACCACTTAATATATATAATATAAAGGATGTGTTAGAAAAATCCACTGCTCTAAACTGAAGTACCTTCAGAACACGAGGGCACAGAAGGAGACGGTTTCTCCTCTCCCACCAATGTCAAATTTAAGAATGTTCTTGCTTTTACATCAGAATGAAAGCAAAACTACTCAAGGCATCATACCAGAGCCAGGATACATCCACAGCCAGCCAGCCAGCAGCCCAATGCTATGAGCCAATCCCCAACCCAAGGACACCTCTCTCTAAGCTGTGCATGCCAACCTCTGCACCCACACACTCAGACTGAGAGGGGAGGGTTGATTAGGTAGAAAAACCCTTTTTGACCTCAGATCCCAACCAGGGTTCACATCTTAGGTGGGAAAATTCATTCTGCACATGCGTGGTCCAAGGTGGGCACTGACATGAAAGAAGGGGACAGACTCTTTCTGGGGGGGCTGTTGCGATAAGAAAAGGGGAAATGGCTTTCAACTGACAGAGGGGAGGATTTAGGCTGGATGTGAGAAACTTGTTTACAGTCAAGGTGGTGAGACATTGCACAGGATGGTGGTGGTGGTGCCCATCCCTACAGACCCCCCAGGGTCAGGCTGGAGGGTCTGAGCAGTGATGGAGCTGTGGGTGTCCCTGTGCACTGCAGGCAGTGGGACCAGATGGCCTATGGGGGTCCCTTCCAACTCAAACCATTCTATGACAAGGGGGATCTCTGAATGAGGGCTTTGCATGAGCTCCCAACCACCACTCCTACGTGCAGCCCATCCCATCACCCAGAACCCCACAGCCTGGCATCAGCTCCCCCCCCCCGCAGGTCCAGGGTTTCTTTGCTCTGCTGTTGGTGCTCACAGAGCTGCATTTCAGAGGGCAGCACGTGGTGTCCTTGCTGGGGATGGGATGGTTTGGATTAATTTTAAATGTCACTCCCAGAGTTGGGTTAACTCTACGTGGGGAGGGCTAAGCTGGCTATCTGAAATACTGCTTTCAAGATGGCATTTAAAGGGATCCCAGAGTTACTGAGGTTTGGTCTCTTACTTAAAAAAGCAGCCATGCTTTCAGACACCATCAACCCCAGCCAGAGAAGAGCCTGACCCAAAGAGCACCTGCAGGGAGAAAGGCCCAAATGAAAACGTGGCTGTTTAGAAGAACAAATGTCTGCCTGTATCCCAAGCTTTGCTCAGCTGGGGGCTGACAGCAGAGACAGTGCTGATGGAGCGCAGAGAGATGTAATTGTGGATGAACTTAACTCAGGATAAATGGGACAATGTAATTATAAAGAAACATTACATGTACTCAGAGTGGTTTTTAAGGAGAAATGAAAGAATCTTGCACAGATGCAGTATGTTTCCTCCAGGCAATGGATGAAGTTTTCCCTATCCACCTTGAATTCGTTCTCCATGATTGGTTTCAAGTACAACAGGCAAACAGAAAAGATGAAAAATATATCCCTGTCTCCATCTCCCACAGCAAAGGGAGCACAAAGGTAGCAACATTGGTGCAATCCAGTGGAAGCCTTCCTCCTCCTCGCTGTCTGAAGGTGCCAAGTGCTGCTTCCACCAGCCTACATGCTCCACTCCCAGGTGTTTGTTCCCTCCACTGCCACCTCTCCCTGCTCCCACATTTCCCAGGCAAAAATATGTCCATACTCAAACCCTTAACCCCGAGAGAACATAAAAATACTTAAGCTGCCGGAAGCAATACATCTTCCCTTCACGTGATGGCTTCGGCTTTTTTCCACTCCACGATCTGGATGCTGTGTTTATAAAGGCAGAAGACTGTTTACACAGGGTCCAGAAGTTGTTTAGCAAGAGGTCGGAGCTGCCAGCAGAGCTCGCTGGATGTTTGCATGGAGACATCTCACAAACCACCCTCTCCTTTCCCTCCAGCCCTTTGCAGATAGGCAGGATTGAAACAGTTTGGATAGTCGTCCGCACGTTGGTCCACTGGGAAAAGTATAGTCTCGCCTTGCTGGATAGAAATAATCAATGAGCATTTTAATAGAGAATTATCCCTTAGCGCTGGTAAGATTTACTGCAGAGGAACAGTCAATTCGATGGGTCAGAAGCCCCGGGTTGCATTCTGGTGTTTTTCCATAAGGCTGCTCCATGCCTGAGCCACGTCACCTCCCTGTCCTCGCAATGGGACACGAGCACATCCCTGTGATGGTGATATCTTTCATTCCTTCCTGGCTGAGGATGGTGCCTCAGCACTCTGCTTATACCCAGCGCCCGTTCCCGTGCCATTCTCTGGTGAGTTGAACTCCCTGAGCCATCCCCATGCTTGTAGGGTGTTTTGGCAAGCTTGAGCTTGAACCTTTCCAAATGCTTCCCAGCACTGCATGGAGACAGATGGTTTGGAGCAGTCAGTCCCCTCCATCCCACCAGCCTGAGACTTTGGATGTGAGGCCATCCATCACTCTGGGAGCTTCTGAGCCCACTGAGGCCATTGAGCACGTGGCTCTGGATGACGCACTCCATTTATTTACTCCATGATTTCTCAGGGTGAGAAATCTTCATCACAGAGCCTGTGGTGAAGCAGTGCTGAAGTGGTTTTGGGGACAACACGGAGCTACAAAGACTTAACTCACATTGCACCACAGACAGTGCATGTCCAGCCATTCCCAGTTTGGATTGGTGGCTTCATAGGGCTTCACACACCACAGGCACAAACTCATCAAATCTCAGCACCAGAGGCAGCGATTACCAGTGGGGCTCAGGCTGCCTTTTGTTCAGAGGACAGCCATCTCCACCACCCCTCAGCCTGCAGGAGGGGCTGA